TGCGTTCACTTCAGCGAACACTTACGGTAGGTGTGAGTTGTAAGGGAATGGGAGGGTTGGCAGGGAATGGGAGGGTTGTAAGGGAATGGGAGGTTGGCAGGGGAGAGAGGACTACAACTTATTGCATATAAGCGTATAATTAGTATTTACTGTATTTATTAATGTATTTGTATTTCATTTGCTAACAGCCCGACCAGCACCTGGAGTTCGACGCCATCAACCAACTGCTCAATCAGCCCATCACTACCGGCGCACTAAACCACTGGTGCCGTCAATACCCGCATCTCTTACCGCAAGACTATTAGAGAAAAGCTATTTATTCATTAAATTGAATCACAGATGCCTTCAAAGTATTATACAAATCGAGACAAAAGTTTTTGTTCACGAAAATTGTCGCAAAATATCTCATTATTTATGAATTTGACGAATTATTTGATAACTATAAATATTTTATGTGTTTTTATTGTATTAACATATTTGGATGTTTTATATAATTTACTTGTGTAACAAATATTTAAGATTATTATCGGCAGACTTGTTTACTCTATAAACACATTATGATCATGTAAAGCATCATTATTACGAATTGTATTAAATTTATAATTATAATTGTGTAACTTATATGACAAGTTCAAAAACAGTAAAACAAAGTTTTATAATATCGTATTATTATTAATTAATTTTTGTGTAAAAAATTTGCTGGTTAACTTTAATAAAGTTAACGTATTTGGACCACGAATGGGTTTTCAGCACGGATTATCACATAACTTCGACACATACAGAACCTCATACTGGGCTTCCGGATCTTAAATTACAGAAACAATGACACTCCATCCATGTCTTGGACTTATCGCAAGAGCATGTAATGTCAACTAACACCAGGTTCATTTGTGTCAGTCGTGGACACAAACTGATAATGAGTTCGAGCGCCCGGGTGTCGACAGTTGTGTCATAGAATTCCAAGAACTCGATGTTTGGGACCTTGCACCAATGCATCCCTATTAGTCATGGGATCCAATTGGGAACTGATGACATGAACAGATCCCTTGTACTTCTTGAGAGTACTTCCCACACAATCCATGAATTGGTGGCAAACCCTCTCCAATCGGATCAATTGCTCCACTGATAGCTCTTTGAATATTAAGCCAAGATGTCGTCACACAAGACATGATGTCTCCCGATGGAGACATTACTCAGTGCTTCATTGATTGTCTTCGTATCGCAGATATCATCACTACTTGTGGTCATTCTTCTGCAGTTTGCAGTCAAAGACACAAACAATTGATTTCACAATACGTGTCAGTAATACAGAGACTGAACTCATAAGTTGTGTTTGACATGAAAAAGTTATCAAAAACTTTGTTCAAATGCAATGCACTGTTAATACAGTAGTCATGCGCTCAGACACAGAATATTCAGTACTATTCCTATGGAATACCAGTGCTATTGAAGTGCGAGTAACGCATGTACTCTACCGTACAGTCAGTACTACGAGAGCACAGTTATCATTGCTCAGCACCAGAATCTGCACCATTAGCTCGTATGACAGGCATAGAGAACCGTACGTCACAGTCGACTCGAGCG